CTCTTTCCCGAGTATTTGGACACGTACTTGGTTGAATTCGACATTCAGCCCCGTTAGGAACTCATAGACTCTTTCTCCTTCAACAAATCTTAACATCATGCATGCGCCTTCACTGCATTTCATCTTAATATTTTGATAGTAATCGTTCTAATCAAAGACCTTTCATTTTATTATAGTAATCGGTGACCGAGAGAGTACCTTGTTTGGTTGAGTGAATTTTTGTTTTGATTTAAAAAATAAGGGCTGCATGACGAACCTTTGAATAAGTTTGCTTCACCGTGTCCCATATGTCCTTTGCAGTTGTGAGAAACATGCACGTCCTAGGAGCTAGTGCTAGTGCTGGAAGTTTGTTCTGTGCTGGAATTTTGAGACATTTTTTCTGATTAGAAAAAGAAAGGCTGGCACGGGAAGAAAAAACAGGTATTGAAGGGTGTTTCTCAGCGGAAACAAAGGGGGCGGAAAGAATAACCCTAATTCTCTGATACCATGAACAAATTGATGAACTGATTGATAATTCTCATAAACTGTACAACTTATTTATAGATTACAAAACAGTCTACTTAGGAGCTATTTATGGTAACACAATATTCATCACTAATTACAAGTAAAGGCCTAATATATAAGAATTTCTAGCTTGCATTGACTCTGGAAATCAGGGAACAAATTCCCTTAAAACCAGAGTCAACGAATCCTTGAAGATTCGTCAACAAACTCCACTATAAGAGTTTGATCAGTGGAAGGAATCAAAGAATGATCTTTTTTTTTTTTGTTAATTGGGGATTAACTGTGAGCAGGTATAAGTTTAAAGGGGTAAACCATAATTTACCGCAAAAGGTGAGGGACGACAAATAACATGAGTAAAGTATCCGCTAACAAAGCAGAATTGGCTGTTTAGCTATTGACAGTCATTTGGAATTTTGTTATGGTACTGGCCTTCTAGTTTTCTAAACCCGTTTACATTCTGGGATGCTTCTTCAGGTTATGCTCCTGGTTCTCGAGGTTCATGCATGGATAGCGAAAAACCTACAACACTTCCGTCATCTTGTTGTTTTCTTGATGCATAATTTCAGGGCAGATAATTCTCTACTGGAGAAGTGAGTTTCTTCTCTCTCTCTCTCTCTACTGGAGAAGTGAGTTTCTTCTCTCTCTCTCTCTCTCTCTCTCTCTCTCTCTCTCTCTCTCTCTCTCTCTCTACTGGAGAAGTGAGTTTCTTCTCTCTCTCTCTCTCTACTGGAGAAGTGAGTTTCTTCTCTCTCTCTCTCTCTCCGGGAGTTTTCTACGATATTAGAAGTGGAATCCGATCTGGATTTTGCATCTGTTATGGCCCACGTTGTCTTTTCTGAACTTCAAGTGCACGAGTGCCCTAATAGAATGACGTTGAGGTTGGGGCTTTTTATAGTTAACAAAGTGAAGCAAGGCTTTTGTATTTAATAGTTTCGTGATTTCTTTTTATTTTTCAGGCTTTGAACTTGATTTTACTTACATCATCCGAATTATCTGAACTTCGAGAACTTTTGAAAAAGTCACTCACGAACCCCGTTGGGAAGGACTTATTTGTTTCGTTGTATGCTTCATGGCGCCACTCACCCATGGCAATCATAAGTCTCTGCTTATCAGCTCAGGAAACTGTTTAGAATTCCATTGTAGTAACTACCGTCATCTCTCTTTTTTGTGCTGCATGCCCTTTTGTTTATTGGTTTAGTTTTTATATTTGAATAGAACGTGTTCTCATTTCTTATCTTGACAGACACCAGCATGCAAGTGCTGTAATCCAGTCTCTGGTGGAGGAGGATATTGCATTCAGAGAGTTTGTTCTTCGTGAGCTCCGTGCGGCTGCTGGTGCTGTCACAATCACGTCTCTCATGGTCAGTACGGTGTTCTTTTCAGTCCCATGCTTTAGCAGATTTAAATATGAGTATCCTTTATTTCATCATGCATCTTTGTTATTTATGAGCCTAATGATTTTCTAAATAGCTAAATGAAATGTCCAACATGTTCATTTAGGGTTTTGGGATGCTAGCTATAAAACTAATCCGGTGATCTGTAAATTTCCTTACTCTAGTTCCCCCCATATTTGTGAAGTTAAACAAATGTCAAATTATTGTAATAGGCATTGCTTAGCTAACTTGTTTAACATCTAGTTGGATATGCAACGATGATATATATATATATATTCTCTGTCATTTTTTGTAGGCATGCTCAGAAAAATGTAAGGATCGTGTCTGCAAAATTTTATAATTTTTTGATGTCGTTTTTATTTTATTTTATTTTTCAAAGATGAAAAATAAAGAAAATTATAAAAAATAGAATATTCATCAAAAAATGGTGCGGCTTGTAGCATTAATTCCTTAAAATTGTGTATTAATTTTAGAATGCAAAACATAAATAAAAATATAAATTTTTTACCCATCCCGGCCCCGGGGCACCCCACAATGCGGGCCAGCGGCTTTTATACATTGTTTTTCTTTTTTATTTTTCATTTTTTAGGCCTATTTTTTCAGGCATGCTCAGAAAAATGTAAGAATCTTGTTTGCAAAATTTAATAATTTTTTGACGTCGTTTTTATTTTGTTTTATTTTTCAAAGACGAAAATAAAGAAAATCATAAAAAATAGAATATTCATTAAAAAATAGTCCCGCTTGTATTAATTCCTAAAATTGTATATTACTTTTAGAACACAAAATATAAATAAAAAGCGTTTTACTTCTATTTGTCATGTTTTGAGGCCACTGTTTGCAGGCGTGCCTAGAAAAATGTAATGATCGTATCTGTAAAATTTCATAATTTTTTGACATCGTTTTTATTTTATTTTATTTTCAAAGACCAAAAATAAGGAAAAACATAAAAAAATAGAATATTTATTAAAATATAGTGCCGCTTATTGCATTAATTCTTTAAAATTGTATATTAATTTTAGATTGTAAAAGATAAAAAAAAATGTAAATTTTTTACCCATTCTAGCCCATGGCGTCCCATTATACGGGCTAAGGACTTTTTGACAGCATTTTACTTTTTTTTGTCATTTTTTGAGGTTATTTTTTTGCAGGCATGCCCAGAAAAGTGTATGGATCGTGTCTGTAAAATTTCATAATTTTTTTTTGTTGTTTGTAATTTATTTTATTTTTTCAAGACGAAAAATAAGGAAAATAATAAAATATAGAATATTCATCAAAAAATGGTGTCGATTGTTGCATTAATTCCTAAAAATCATATAATAATTTTAGAATGCAAAACATAAATACAAATGTAAATTTTTTACCCATCCCGGTCCCTGGGCGCCCCACTACGCGAGCTGGGGGCATCTATACAGCGTTTCACTTTTTTTGGGGTCATTTTTTGCAGGCATGCCCAAAAAAAATGTAAGGATTGTGTTTGCAAAATTTCATAATTCTTTGTCGTCGTTTTTATTTTATTTTATTTTTTTAAGACGAAAAATAAAGAAAATCATAAAAAATAAAGTATTAATCAAAAAATGGCGCTGCTTGTTGCGTTAATTCCTTAAAATCGTACATTAATTTTAGAAAGTAAAACATAAATAAAAATGTAAATTTTTTACCCATCTCGTCCCTTGGGTGCCCCATTACGCGGACTGGAGATTTTTTTACAGCGTTTTGCTTTTTTTTTTTTTCATTTTTTGAGGTGATTTTTTGCAAGCATATCTAGAAAAATGTAAGGATCTTGTCTGTAAAATTTCATAATTTTTTTATGTCGTTTTTATTTAGTTTTATTTTTCAAATATGAAAAATAAAGAAAATCATAAAAAAAAATAGAATATTCATTGAAAAGATGGTCCGGCTTGTTGCATTAGTTCCTAAATCGTATATTAATTTTAGAATGCAAAACATAAATAAAATGGTAAATTCTTGACCCATCCCGACAACTAGGTGCCCCACTACGCGGGTCGGGGGCTTTTTAATAGCGTTTTACTTCTTTTTGTCATTTTTTGAGGCCATTGTTTGTAGGGATGCCCAAAAAAATGTAAAGATCGTGTTTGCAAAATTTCAAAATTTTTTGACATTTTTATTTTATTTTATTTTTTAAAAACAAAAAATAAGAAAAATCATAAACAATAGAATATTCATCAAAAATAGTGCCGATTGTTGCATTCATTCCTTAAGATCGTATAATAATTTTAGAATCCAAAACATAAATAAAAATATAAATTTTTGACCCATCCCGGTCCCTGGGCGCCCCAGTACGCGAGCTATAGGCTTTTTGATAACGTTTTACTTGTTTTTATCATTTTTTGAGTCCCTTTTTTATAGGCATGCCCAGAAATATGTAAGGATCGTGTGTGCAAAATTTCATAATTTTTTTAAAGTCATTTTTATTTTATTTTATTTTTCAAAGACGAAAAATAAAGAAAATCATAAAAAATAGAATATTCATTAAAAAATCGTTTCGCTTGTTGCATTAATTCTCAAAAATTGTATATTAATTTTGAAAAGCAAACCATGAAAAAATGTAAATTTTTGACTCATCCAGGCCCCTTGGCACCCCACTACGCGGGCTGGGGGCTTTTTGACAACGTTTTATTTTTTTGTCATTTTTTGGGGCCATTTTTTGCAGGCTTGCCTATAAAAATGTAAGGATCGTGTCTATAAAATTTTATAATTTTTTGACATCGTTTTTATTTTATTTTATTTTTCAAAGATGCAAAACAAAAAAAAATCATAAAAAATAGAATATTCATCAAAAATCGTGTCGCTTGTTGTATTAATTCCTTAAAAACGTATATTAATTTTAGAATGCAAAATATAAATTAAAATATAAATTTTTGACCCACCCCGGCCCTTGGGCGTCCCATTACGTGGGCCGGGGGCATTTTGAAGGCGTTTTACTTTTTTTTATCATTTTTTGAGGCTACTTTTTGGTGGCATGCCCAAAAAAATGTAATGATCGTGTTTGGAAACTTTCATAATTTTTTGACGTGGTTTTTATTTTAGTTTATTTTTGAAAGACGAAAAATAAAGAAAATCATAAAAAATAGAATATTCATCAAAAAATAGTATCACTTGATGCATTAATTCCTAAAAATCGTATATCAATTTCAGAATATGAAACATAAATAAAAATTTAAATTTTTGACCAATCTCGTCCTCTAGGCACACCACTATGCGGGCCGAGAGCTTTTTGACAGCGTTTTACATTTTTGTCATTTTTTAATGCCATTTTTTGTACGCATGCCCAGAAAAATGGAAGGATCATGTTTGTAAAATTCCATAATTTTTTGACGTCATTTTTATTTTATTTTATTTTTTAAAGTCAAAAATAAAAAAAATCATAAAAAATAGAATATTCATCAAAAATTGGTGTCACTTGTTGTATTAATTCCTAAAAATTGTATATTAATTTTAGAATGAGAAACATAAATAAAAATGTAAATTTTTACCCATCCCAGCCCTGGGCACCCCACAACGCAGGCCGGGGGCTTTTTGACAGTGTTTTACATTTTTGTCATTTTTTGATGCCATTTTTTGTAGGCATGCCCAAAAAAATGGAAGGATCATGTTTGCAAAATTTCATAATTTTTTGACGTCGTGTTTATTTTATTTTATTTTACAAAAATGAAAAATAAAAAAATTATAAAAAATAGAATATTCATCAAAAAATAGTGCCGCTTGTTGCATTAATTCCTAAAAATCGTATATTAATTTTGGAATGCAAAACATAAATAGAAAGGTAAATTTTTTACCCATCTCGGCCCTTGGGTGCTCCACTATGCCTATCGGGGGCTTTTTGACAACGTTTTAGTTTTTTCATCATTTTTTGATACCATTTCTGTGGGCATGCGCATAAAAATGTAAGGATCATATCTGCAAAATTTCATAATTTTTTGACCTCGATTTAATTTAATTTTATTTTTCAAACATGAAAAATAAGGAATATCATAAAAAATAGAATTTTTGTCAAAAAATGGTGTCGCTTGTTCCATTAGTACCTAAAAATTGTATATTAATTTTAGAATGTAAAACATAATTACAAATGTAAATTTTTTACCCATCACGGCCCCTGGGCGCCCCACTATGCGAGCCGTGGGCTTTTTGACAACGTTTTACCTTTTTTTGTCATTTTTAGGCCATTTTTGGAGGCAGGCCCAGAAAAATGTAATGATCGTGTCTGCAAAATTTCATAATTTTTTGACGTCATTTTCATTTTATTTTATTTTTCACATATGAAAAATAAAAAAATCATAAAAACTAGAATATTCATCGAAAAAATGGTGTCGCTTGTTGCATTAATTTTAGAATGTAAATTTTTGACCCATCTCAGCCCATGGACGCCCCACTATGCGGGCCGAGGGCTTTTTGACAGCGTTTTACTTTTTTTTTTTTGTCATTTTTAAGCTATTTTTTGTAGGCTTGCCCAGAAAAATGTAAGGATCATGTATGCAAAATTTCATAATATTTTGACATCATTTTTATTTTATTTTTCAAGACGAAAATAAAGAAAATAATAAAAAATAGAATATTCATCAAAAAATGGTGCCGCGTGTTGCATTAATTCCTAAAAATGGTATGTTAATTTTCAAATGCAAAACATTAATAAAAATATAAATTTTTGACCCATCCTGGTCCCTGGGCGCTCCACTACGCGCTTCGAGGGCTTTTTGACAGCGTTTTACTTTTTTTGTCATTTTTTGATGCCACTTTTTGTAGGCATGCCCAGAAAACTTTAAGGTTCCTGTCTGCAAAATTTCATAATTTTATGATGTCATTTTTATGTTATTTTATTTTTCAATGATGAAAAATAAAGAAAATCATAAAAAATAGAATATTCATAAAAAAATTGGTGTTGCTTGTTGCAATAATTCCTAAAAATTGTGTATTAATTTTAGAATGAAAAACATAAATAAAAATGTAAATTTTTTACCCATCCCAGTCCTGGCCGCCCCACTACGTGGGCCGGGGGCTTTTTGGCAGCGTGTAATATTTTGTCATTTTTTATTCCATTTTTTGTAAACCTGCCCAGAAAAATGTAAAGATCATGTTTGTAAAATTGCATAATTTTTTGACGTCGTTTTTATTTTCTTTTATGTTTCAAAGATGAAAAATAAAAAAAAAT